ATTGATCTCTAGGAAGTCTTTAATTTCTTTCTTTATTTCTTCCTTGACCCGTTGGTGATTCAGCTGAGCATTATTAAGTTTCCATGAGATTGTAGGCTTTCTGTAAATTTTGTTGTTGTTGAAATCTAACTTTATACCATGGTGGTCTGATAGAACACAGGAGGTTATTCCAATTTTTTGTATCTGTTGAGATTTGCTTTGTGGCCAAGTATGTGGTCGATTTTAGAGAAGGTTCCATGGGGTGCTAAGAAGAAGGTATATTCTTTTTTGTTAGGATGGAATGTTCTGTAGATATATCAATTAAGTCCATTTGAGTCATAACATCAGTTGAATCCTTTATTTCTCTGTTAAGTTTCAATTTTGTAGATCTGTCCAGTGGTGAAAGTGGGGTGTTGAAGTCTCCCACTGTTAATGTATGGGATTTTATGTGTGATTTAAGCTTTAGTGATGTTTCTTTTACATATGTGGGTGCCCTTGTGTTTGGGGCATAAATGTTCAGAATTGAAACTTCATCTTGGTGGATCTTTCCTGTGATGAGTATGTAATGTCCTTCTTGATCTCTTTTGATTGATTTTAGTCTGAAGTCTATTTTATTGGATATTAGGATGGCTACACTAGTTTGTTTCTTAAGACCATTTGATTGGAAAGACTTTTCCTAGCCTTTTATTCAGAGGTAGTGTCTATCTTTGAAATTGAAGTGTGTTTCTTGTATGCAGCAGAAAGATGGGTCCTGCTTTTGTATCCATTCTGTTAGCCTGTGTCTTTTTATAGGTGAATTGTCATTGATATTCAGTGGTATTAGTGACCAGTGAGTGTTAGTTCCTGTTATCTTTTTGTGTAGTGTGTGTGTACTTCTCTTCTTTGGGGTTTACTGCTGTGGCATTATCTATTGCCTGTGTTTTTGTGGGTGTATCTGACTTCCTTAAGTTGGAATTTTCCTTCTAGTGCTTTCTGTAGGGATGGATTTGTGGATAGGTATGTTTAAATCTGGTTTTGTCTTGGAATGTCTTGTTCACTCCGTCTATGATGATTGAAAGTTTTGCTGGGTATATTAGACTAGGCTGACATCCATGGTCTCTTAGTGTCTGCCTTAAGGATTTGTCCAGGTCCTTCTGGCTTTCCAATTGAGAAATTGGGTGTTATTCTGATGGGTTTGCCTTTATAAGTCACTTGGCCTTTTTCCTTTGCTGCCCTTAATATTCTTTCTTTATTCTGTATGTTTAGTTGTTTAATTATTATGTGGTGAGTGGACTTTTTTTGGGGTCTAGTCTGTTTGGTGTTCTTGTATCTTCATAGGTATTTTCTTCTTTAAGTTGGGAAAGTTTTCTTCTATGATCTTGTTGAATATATTTTCTGTGCCTTTGAGTTGGCATTCTTCTCCTTCCTCTATCCCTACTATTCTTACGTTTGGTCTTTTCATGGTATCCCAGAATTCTTTTACATTTTGTGTTATGACTTTGTTGGCTTTAGTGTTTTCTTTGACTGATGAATCCATTTCCTCTATTGTATCCTCTACACTAGAGATCCTCTCTTCCATCTCTTGTTATCTCTGTTAGTTATGCTTTCATCTATATTTCCTGTTCATTTACTCAGATTTTCTATATCCAGCATTCCCTCTGTGTTGTCTTCATTGTTTCTATTTCCCTTTTCAGGTCTTGAACTGTTTCCCTCACCTGTTTAATTGCATTTTCATGGTTTTCTTTAAGGGATTTATTGCTTTCTTCCAATTTATTTGTCTTTTCCTCTATTTCTTCCAATTTTTTGTTTGTCTTTTTCTCAATTTCTTTATTGATTTCTTCCACTTTTTTGTTTATCTTTTCCTCCATTTCATTTTTCATTTTTTTCTTGAAAGGCCTCTAGCATCTTCATGATGCTATTCTTAAGGTCACTTTCTTCTACTTCTACTACCTTGTGATGTTCAGGCCTTGCTGTTGGAGGAGGTCTAGGTTCTGGTGATGCTGTATTGATCTTTATGTTGTTGTATGTACTTCTGCCTTGGCATCTGCCCATCTCCTCCTCTAATGGGTATAAGAGGTGCCTGTGTCTAAGTGAGTTGCTGTTGGTCTACTCTGTGCTTGTTGTATCTGTGTCTTAGGGGGCCCTTCTGGGTCTAATCTTAGCTCTTGGTCTAATTGGAGCAGGCAGATTCTGTGTCTCAGGGAGCTACTCTAAGGTCAACACAAGCTAGCTGATTCTGTGAGTCACAGATGCTTTCTTGGTCTTCTCAGGACTCTTGGTCTAGTCGGAGCTGACTAATTCTGTGTTTCAGGAAGCCTCTCTTGGTCCAATGAGAGGTGGCAGATTCTACTTCTTAGAAAGCCACTCTTGGTCTAATGAGGGCTGGCAGATTCACTGTCTGCTGAGGTTACTCTTGGTCCAATGACAGCCCTTTGTCCAATGAGAGCTCTCTCTCTAAGCCCAATGAGAGCTCTCTAGGTCCGAATAGCATTGGGGGTTGGTTTCCAAGCCTCAGGAAGTGGCTGGGGTCTCGATGGGAATGGGGGCAGAGCATGTAGATTGCAGGGTCTGCTGCTGAGGGGTCTTGGTGAACAGGGAGCCTTCCCACAGGAGCCCTGCCTGCTGGCTGGCAACTGGGGCCGAGTTTTGTCTTTTTAATCTTTACAGTGTTTTTAAAAACTATTTTTAGTCTATAAGTTTAGGATTTCAATTTGGAATAAATTATAGAGCTATGCCAAAATATAAATTACTATATAGGCTCATATAAGCTAACCCATTCCTATTATTTTTCCTATATTTCTTTTTTTAATCAGTAAGTTTTCTAAGACTATTCACATGTTTGCTAGATCTGGCATTATCTCATTACACAAGGTTTTGGTTTCATAAAGTTACTTTTTACTTTTGGCCTAAGTTATCTAGGGAAGCATTTTTTCGACAACAGATAGTCTTGTTTGAGACCTAACAGTGACTGTGAGACCTGAGCCCATCCCCCATTCTTCCTAGCAGCTCCAGGTATATGGCTTTCCCTGAGGCTATTAATGAAAACCACAAAGGTGGAAAATTAGAGTCATGATTACCAAACAGCTGAGTGGAAGCTGGAAACTCAGGACACTTTATGAAATTTTAAAATTTACCATAAAGCCAGAGTTGTATTGTCTTTTAAACTGGGTCTTATTCCCTGGCATTCTTTATTTCAACACAAGGGAAGCTCATTAGCATTTCCTGCAGGGCAGGTATCATTGTAATGAACTCAGATTTTTAACTAGGAAGAGCATGTTTACTCCCTAGTGTTGGACCCATAGTGTTGCCATGTGTGGAATCCTTGGTTTGACTTCAATCCTGGATGTAGTTTTTTTTAATTTAGAACTGTGAATAAACACACACTCTCTCATTGCCTCCTGGATGTTAACATTTCTGATAAGAGCTGTGTTCACATTATTTAGCAGGATGAGATAGTCATGCTCTAGGCTACTCTCAACATTCTCTGTTACTCCTCTTTTGTCTGTTGGATTCTAGTGTGCACTGGTGTGGGCCTCTCTGAGTTTATCTCACATTGAATTGGTTCAACTTGTATTTATAGTTCATTTATTTTAATAAACCAGGAAGGTGTTAAACAACAATTTTTTCCAATTATCTTGCCAGTACACTCCAAATTCTTGAATTTCTTCTCTTTATTGTATCCCTGCCCCTGCAGTGCTGACTGAGTAATGTTGTGGTATCCATTTCCGTGATTTTAGATATTTTTTTGTAAGCTGCTAAATCCTCTGTGGACCCTGCCCATTGGACTAAGTTATATACATCTCAACTCCTCAATGCCATTTGTTCCTTCTCATGGTTTCTCTCCATTTAGCGTTATAGTTTGCTATTCAGACTCTTTGCTTTCTTTCTTTAGTGCTTTTTCATACTTTCCTTTTGCTTTTTGCATATTTCAAATGAATGTTGTATTGTCTTGGTCCAGAAGTGTAGTACAGTGAATACAATACAGTGCACCTACCAGATCATCAAAATCCGGGTAAGAAGGGGTCAGAAGTGTCAGAGGTATGGGACTTAGAGTTACTGAGCAAATAGGGGCTGTGATGGTAAGACAGGTGACAAGGGAGAGCACAGCCAGGTGACCACACCATGTGCAAGGAAACAGCAGGGCCTCCTGGAGGGTGGGGTGCTGTGGGACCCTGTGATAGTTGCCTTTTTACACCAAATTAGAACTTCTGACCTCCAAAGCAAAAAAAAAAAATGTTTCTTTTGTGTCAAACCACTAACTTTATAATAATCTGTTACATCATCCTTAAAGTTACTATAATGCTGGGGTTGGAGAGATGGTTCAGGGGTTAAGACCACTTGCTACTCTTTCATGGGGCCCAGGTCCAATTCTGAGCACCCACATGGTAACTTATAACTATATATAACTTCAGTTTAAAGGGCTATGACATCCTCTTCTGGATTCTTTGACCAATAGGCATGCATTTGGGTGCACAGACATACATGGAAGCAAAATACCCATACACATAAAATTAATTATGTAATTAATGTGATTATAAAACATTTTAAAAGCTAGTAACTTAAACAAAGGGTTTATTTCTCTAATTAAGGTGCATCTTACTGCATATTAGGAAATATCTATGTCAATATCACACCAGATGATAAAGCAACCCCATCGTGAGCTGGGGGTCTGACCTAGAATCTTGTAATCAAATGTACATCTCACTAACGATACCTAGCACTTAGGTTTACATCTCTCTGGTCTAAAAGAGTCATATAATCACATGCTACTATAAAAGAAGTGCTCATGACATGTGCACAGAAAATGAAAACCAAACAGATACTGGATGAAGCACGAGAATTCCAAGCAGAATTGGGGCTTCAGTCAGAATCCTGCCAAGTTCTCAGTGTCTGTGATTCAGTTTCTTTGTCATTTACATTCTTTTGTTCAGAGGCCCAGGTGAGGAGAACTGTGATCATGTCATGCTGAGCTCTAGTACATAACAGTATTTGATCACAAACTAGAGGATCCTCTGGGTTCCCATCAGGATGAGCACTGACTGATGTTTCCTACAGGAGCAGCTACACAGAAGGAGCTGAAGGTGATTCAGCCTAAGAAATCAGCTTCTGTCTCTGCTGGAGCATCAGCCACTCTGAACTGTACTGTGACCTCCTTCTCCCCCGTGGGGCCTGTGAAGTGGTTCAGGGGTACAGGACAGAGTCGGCACCTAATATATAGTTTCACAGGAGAGCGATTCCCCAGAGTCACAAATGTTACAGATACTACAAAGAGAAACAACCTGGACTTTTCCATCCGCATCAGTAATGTCACACCTGCTGATGCTGGTACCTACTACTGTGTGAAGATCCACAGAGCAGACACTGGCAAGGAGATTGGGTCTGGGGGAGGCACAGTGCTGAATGTGCTTGGTAAGTATCTCTTTGTCCTCCTCATCCCTGATATCTCCAACAGGTCAAAATGTGCCCAAGATTCTGTGAGCAGCAAGTGAGAAGCAAGCCTGTAAGTGACCCTCATGTTCATAGGGTGACTTTACTCCAACTGTAGACCAAGGAAGCAGAGGAGAGGAGAGGATGTGATTTGTTAGAGGTGCCACTTCTGGTAAATGGGGGTAAATTCATACCCTTGTCTGCCTTGCAATATTTATCTTTCATAATCTGTCCCATTCTAGTGGCTCCATAAACATAGCTAATGCCATGTTCAGTGACAGGGACAAACCTGGCCTATACCTCCAGAGTGTATTACCTTACCCGATTAAGTCTTGTCTTTCTGTCCAAACAACCTGGGCCTAGTGTACACCAGGTTCCACTCTAGATGTCAAACGAGATGGCAAGAAGCAGGCAAGCAGGAGTTCTTTACCCAAGACATGTGTCTCCTCTTCCCAAGAGGAAAAGCACATCAAGGCAGAGAGTGGCAAGGCCAGAGCACAGTGTGCTTTTCTCATTTTTCCTTCATCCACAGCACACTGAGATCCTTTGGTATTTGCCCACATTCACTGTGGAATCTGTCACTCTTGGTTTAATTGGTGGCCTTTATCTTGGATCTGTCTGGACACATTTTCTTTCCTATTTGCACAGGCACTGAAGGTTCTGGGCAATGTAGTCTTGTGTCCTGGAGGGTGTCTCCAGGTAGATGACCTCCAGTTACCAGCAGAGGCATCAGGACATTCACTTTGACCTGCCTTATTTCTTGGTCTTGATTCTGGCAATTTTACATCATGAAGGACAGCCAGACTATCCAGTCCAGGCCTGTTTGAGATGTAAACCCAGTTTGCCAGTGCCCTGTCTATGGTCTCATAGCCAGTTAGTGCTGGGACCTGGCCTTGAACCCACATCTGACTCCAGACCAGCTTCTTGCTGTCCAAGCAAGGAACACCATCTCCACATCAGAGCCTGGTGCATAAGAGATGCTGAGTCAGATTTTCTCAAATTCAGCCAGCATTTCCATTCTTCCTTAGCTCTACAAGGTTTCAAGATGTTCATCACACTCAGATGCTAATAGTAGTGATGAGAAAGGTACCTTAATACCAGCCGTAACCTCACCCCATATTAGAACTGAGAACTGTTCTCCTATGTAAACAAAGCATGGTAGTTCAGCAGCTAGAGACACACTAATTCAGATCCCAGATCATGAATGTTTCATTTGTTTCAAATTGTGGCCACTAAAACAGAGCTACAGCGGATGAACTTGTATGGCCACAGTCCTGGCAATAAGGCATATGACTGTAGTTGTTTTTTACTCTTTGGGGTCCTGCTACCCAGATTCCAAATAAACATACAGAGACTTATTTTTACTTACGAATGCCTGGCCTTAGCTTGGCTTGTTTCTACCCAGCTTTTCCAACTTAAGTTATCCCATTTCTCTTTAACTATGTCTTGCCTCTTGGCTTTTTTATTTTTTTTATTTTATGTTATCTTTCTTCTTACTCCATGGCTGGCTGTGTGGCTGGCTCCTGCTGTCTTCCTCTCCTTCTCCTTTTCTCGCTGCTCCTCTTCTCTTTAGCCTAGATTTCCCCTCCGATTTAATCTCTCTGCCTGCTAGCCATGTCTATTTCTCTCTCCTGCCTAGTTATTGGCTGTTCATCTCTTTATTAGACCAATCAGGTGTTTTAGATAGGTGAAGTAACGTAGCTTTATAGAGTTAAACACATTCAATATAAAAGAATGCCACGCATCTTTGCATAATTAAACAAATATTCCACATCATAAATGAATGGAACACATCTTAAACTAATATCCCAAAACACATGCCATCTGAAGGAGGCCTGCTGCATTTGAGGGTGAATTAGTTATAATGATGTTACCAATTTCCTACCTGGGTGTGGCATAGCAAGTTTTCTCACAACCTATCAACAAAGGGAGAGACAAGAGGAGTGGCTTCGTCCTGACACCACACAGGGGTCTCACATGGTACCCTCTCCTGCTAGCACAATATGTAGACTTCCTAAACTGAAGGAGTGAAGTCATATAACACACTTAGAGAAACTGCTGACATGGAGGAAATATTTCATCTTGTAAGCTTTGCTACTCAGAATCCATGTGACCTTGGATTTTCACTTTCCTTCTCCAGGCCTTAGTTATCAATTAAGTATGGGTGGGGGTTGATAGTGCTCAACCTGGGTGCTCTTCTATCTTTGGAATAACTTGGGAAACTGAGATTAAATTCCAGATCCATGTTCCTTTAAAGTCTGATTTGGGTTTTGGCATCTAAAATATCAAATGCTCCAGAACAGCTTGGGTTTAAAATCCCCTCAGATACATTTTCTGAAACAAGAGGAGATATTTGTGATTATTCCCTTGATAGAGCTCTTAGGCTACCAAGCTGAGGCATGACAACCCCTTATGCTTCAAAGTATCAGGGCCCAGCCTGCTGCACACAATATCCTAAAGCCCAAGTAATGTGCCAGTGACATTTCTCAGAGAGGTGACCCAGGGTCCCCAAGATCCTACCAAGTCAGAACCATGTTTGACTCCAGTCTCAGGCACACAACTTCCCTGTATTGCACAGGACTGCAGGAGAACAATATCTGAGGCCAGACATTTCTCTCTTTCACTCAGAACTGTATCTTAATGACACAGTACATCACTGAGCTGTGTTCTTCAAACTTCTCATGGTCATCTGCTCTCTATAATTAACTCCTCTGGAGGCAGTGCTTGTGGTCTTGATTGTGCCATAAAAGGCACTGATCAACTTTGAAGATCACTAAGAAAGAGGAGGATGTCAGGGTATAAAGTTATTTCTCAAACTGTGGGTTGGGACCCCTCTCCTGGTTGAACACTTTCACAAAGGTCTCATATCAGATATTTATATTATGATTTATAGCAGTAACAAAATTACACTTATGAAGCAGCCACAAAAATAATTTTGTGTTTGGGGGTTACCACCCCATGAGGGTTGCAGCATTGGGAAGGTTGAGAAACACTGGTATAAAGGCTTCAGCTCCTTAAAAGTAGATATTTCATGGGAGGGGCAGGAATAATCTAGAGACATGCCATCTTGGGCCTTTATGGATTTTGCTGCAGCTAATAGTGGCAAAGAATAAATATATGATCTCACATATAGTAACAACTGCAGTGATACATAGAATTATAAGCACACACTTAGGCATGGGTTTCTACCTTCATTTACATCTTTCTATGGTGACATATTTTTCAGTTTTTATGGAAAAGGACACTGATGCCCATTACATAAAGATCAGGATTGAAATTAGTCACATGTTGGGGTGAGATGACATTCGTCATTTGGTCTGTGTAACTTGTCCACCCACAGGCACTCTGATATTAATCCCACCAAAGGTTTGGTCACTGGAATCTGGGAAATACCAACATGGCCAGAAACTCCTGATAAATAGTGACTCTTCCCTCAAACCTGTAGGGATATCAGCTGTACTCGTATTTGGATACCTTGACTTCAAATAACACTCATGGTTTACACTCCTGATTTGATGCACATTTGAGAAGGAGTCACATATGCAGCCTGTTACACATAATAACTTCAGCACAAGGCACCTACACAACACACTGCTGCCTCCCTCTCACTACTCCACCCACACATGTGCTTTCAACCAGGGAATGTTACTGTCTGCTCAACAGGGTCATATCTGTTCTCTTGTGATTAACAGTTAGGAAATGAACCACCTTTAGCTTCTTCTGCAGAGGGTAATCACTGTTTTCAAACTCAAATCAAGTCCAACTGAAGCCCATTTAGAGATGCAGACTACTGAGCTCTCAATGTTAAATTCAGAGTTGGCACAGATGAGACCTACTAGCATGTACTTAAGGAAAGAAAGCAAACAAATATGGGAAGCACCTCTGTGACGTCATTTATTTCCTGAGTTACTATAGATGTAAATCTACAAATATTTTCCCTAGATTTGCTAGGTTTCCAGAGGAAGCCAGCAGGAGAAGATGATAGAAAATACAAAATACATTGATAATTGCCTTCCTTTGCCAAGGCTAAGAATTCTCCCTAGACTTGCTCTTCCTCCTTTACTTCCAGGGATCTTTGCTAAACTGTAGAGGCAAAAGCACAAAGGATACCACAGAAGGACCAGGACAAACCTTGCCCCCCCCAACAAAAGAAGGAAAGAAAAGAAAAGAAAAAGCAAATACTAAAACAAGGAGGATAAACAGTTAATAAGGTCTGTATCTGGGACACAGCTATGACCTTAGAGTAGAGCTTAGTGTGGCTGAAGCTCTGGTCTTGATCCCAAGCACCACAGTAAACAATAACAATAAGACAGTATCTAAGAAGGGTCCTCAAATGTGATGGCAACAGTGGTGGCCATCACAATCACATTCTTGTCTACGTGCCTCTTTGTAACTAAACCATCTCCTCCTGTGGTCTCGGGCCCTGCAGTCAGAGTTACTCCTGAGCAAACAGTGAGCTTCACATGCAAGTCCTATGGCTTCTCTCCTCGAAACATCACACTTAAGTGGTTCAAAGATGGAAATGAGCTCCCTCACTTCCTAACTACTGTGGACCCCAAAGGAGAAAGCGTCTCCTACAATATCTCCAGCACAGCCCAAGTGGTATTGAGCCCTTGGGATGTCCACTCTCAGATCATCTGTGAGGTGGCCCATGTCACCTTGCAAGGAGGCCCTCTCCATGGGACTGCCAACTTGTCTGATACCATCCAAGGTAAATGACTCTGAATCCCAGCTCAAGCTCACATCTGTTCAGAATGGTTTGGTCCATAGTTCCCAGCAAGCATTCATGCATACCATATAGAGGTTTAGGGGAGTCATAGACTATGGTCAGCATATAAAGAAAACTATTTAAACAGAAAAAATTACAGCTGTACTGATTATAAACCATGCCCCTCATTCCTGATATTTTCATTTTACTGTTGTTATTGCTTTCCCATTGAACCTGGGAGTTGTGCTTATTGACTTCATTTATTACGACACTCACCTTGTGCATCTATGTGTCAGGAGCTGTGTTTAGGGGTTCTACTCTGGCACAAATAATCATCCTTTTCCCACGTCAATCTTGGAACAGGGCTGGTTCCTCCATACTTCAGCCTCTCCTCTGAGGTCTGTCTGTGCTTAGGCTTTGAAGTCTCAGCTTCTGCTTCTGCTGTTTCAGTTTCACCCACTGTGGAGATCAGCCAGCAGCCATCAATGGTATGGTTTCTAATAAGTTCTACCCTTTGAGCCTTCGCTTGACCTGGTTAGAGAATGGAAAAGTATCCCAGATAGAAGAGCCTTCTATGTTCACAGTAAACAAGGATGGAAGCTACAGCTGGACCAGCTGGCGCTTGGTGAATGTATCTGCCCATGAGGAGGACATGTTACTCACCTGCCAAGTTGAGCATGATAGACAGCCAGCAGTCCTAAAAACCCATACTGTGGTGATCAGTGCACAGCAGAGGGAACAAGGTATTAGCACCATGTCTGGTGAATCTCCACCCCAGCTTCTTGGCTGTTGGCAAATTTATCCTCTTTTTTTTTGAATGTCAAAGGTAGCATTTTGCTTATTGTATGATAGTCCTAATATCTACAACTGAATAGAATGTTAAAGTTAGCTTTCATTGCCAACTTCTGAGGGGTCTCATACATCTCTCCATTGATGTGTTGATATTCACAGCTATTAAATAAGGGAGACAGGAAGGCATCATCCTACCCTAGAATCCTGTCTCTTGCCTTTTCCCTAATGTTTGTTATTTCCTCATGTTCATATTCTTCCTTTTCAGTATCTTCCCTGTCTCCTTTCCATTTTACACTTTTCCATGGACATCTGAGTCCTCACTGAGTGTAATCCCAATGGGCCTCCTGAGCACCTGTAGTTTTACTGTGGATCAGGAACCCAACTGACTGTGAGTGGTCATTTCATCCTGATTTGTTGTAATAGACAAATATCTATGTATTCAGACCCTGACTCCACACTTAGTACAAGCAGCTTTGAATTTGGCTGTCATCTCTTGCCCTTCATTGGTCATCATCTAATGAGTCATCAGTTTTATAGACAAGGACTCTAGGGGTGGGGAAGCAATAGGGATGTTGAGTTCTTGCCCTGAGACCTTGTGACCTGGTCTAATTAATATACTAAGGTCCCTGGGAGCAAGGTCATCGAGAGTGTATAAGGCAAATTTTGCTAGTAAAGTATTTCTCCTTGATTTGTTACTATGCTAGTACTTAGAATGAGATAAAGACCCCTTTGTATGAATTTGTTTTATTTTCCTCTCATGAAACACCAGCTGTGGCCCTCAACTCCCATGACTTTTACAAACTTAGGTTCCTTGTCATACAGCCTTTTTTGTGAACTTCATCTGTGGTGGTATTTTACTTGTACTGAAATGTGATTTTAATTGTATGTTAATAAATAAAGTTGCCTGGGGGTCAGAGCTATTAGAGCCATAGCAAGTGCGTGGCGGTGGTGGCCCACGCCTTTAAGGACCTGGAGGGCGGTACATACAGGCAGTGACGAGGCAGTCACATGTTTGGGTTTACAACCAATGAGAAGGCAGAACAGCTAGAGTATATAAAGACATACACACAGGAAGTAGGTCCCTTTCGGAGAGCTCTCTTGGCTGAAGAGGATCCCTGAATCAGGAAGGGTGAGGCTCTTAGCTCTGACCTCTTGGCTTTCTTCTCTGAATTGGCTCTGTGTTTCTTATTTAATAAGACCGTTGGTTACATCTACATTCATCTGTTGAATAAACAGCAGGTCGCCCAATTATCTGTTACATCACCATTAAAACAGTAAAGTTTAGAATATACCAGCTTCCTTAGAGTATGACTTATGTAGATGCTGCATAATTATACCCTATGATGGCTCTGTCATGTGTGCTCATCCACTTGCAAATGCAGTCCACAGTGGGTTCTCAGGTAAATAAGGATATTTTTATTCAAATCTAATACCATAATCACATTCAATGAAATTAACTATAATTTCCAACAATATTTCAAATGGACTGTATCTTCAAAATTACTTTATAGACTTTTTTGTGTGTCATAAAATTAGGTTCTTCAAAATGTATCACCTTCCACAGTTTACCCATTAACAAATAATTTTAGAACTTTTTGTCCATTTTATGTGAGTATTCAAACTTCTGCTATAGAATTTCTTAGACAATCGTGTTGTCCTTTTTAAGTCTAAGTGTATATGTATATGTATATGTATATGTATGTGTGATTATATAGTGATGTTCCTCTCTAGGTATTGATGTGGAAAACTTGTCATAGCTCTTTCATTTCATCAGTCTTTCTGGAAGATTTCCAATATTTTCCTCTTCCAAAAAAAAAAAAAACTTCTTTCAGTGATCATATCTATTTTTTCAGTTTCCATTTCATTGATTTTCTACTCTTCTCTCTTTAATATTCTTAGAAGAATATGTAGAAATACCTCATGGGTCACCAAATGATGTAAAGGAAATTAGGGTCCTGTCTTGGGATTCTTAGTGCCATTCATTTAAGAATGGGTTCAAAGGATGGGAAGCTCAATAAGAATTTAACTAGAGTTTGAAAATAAAAAATTCCTTCAGCAGGCAGGCTCTAAATCTCATCAGATTCCCAGAGGTTGATAATGTAGCAAAGAAAAGGAAAACAAAAATCAGAAACAAATAAACAAAAACTCCCCAAAACTTAGCCAGTGCAAAGTCCAGACACACGGTGAACAACAGGTGGGGAGGGAGCTGTAGGAAATAGTACTGCAGCCCATACATGGTACCCGGTAAAGCAAGCTTAGGTTCTGGCAAGCCCTGAAAGAAGATAGGAAAAAGAAAAAAGGTTGTTCCTTCTTAATCAAGGCCCAGAAAGGTGAACTTCACTGTGGTTCAGCTGGGAAGAACTGTACTGGGAGAAGAAATGCTGGGAGCAAAAAGGGCAGCATCTCATTAAAGGATCAATTATTCCACCCCTTTATCATGACTCATGTTTAATTTGGCCTCCTAGGGCCCAAGTTGAGATTCTAGTCTCTTGATGTGAAGTTTACTTAGGCTTTTGTTACTAATCTAAGGATAGTATTTCCTTCATTCTCTCTGGTTTAGTTTGGTTGGTTTCCTGGAGGTGGGAGACAATTCACTTCAATGCTTGATGCAGAAGAATTACCTTTCTATGGATAACTATTGTCTGCTACTTTAATTTAAACAATTACACCTCTACCACAGCCCTGGGAACAATGACCATTAGTCCTGGGATCTTCAATGCTGGACAGTTCAGTAATTAAATTGCAAATTCTCTTCTTTGAGTGTATTTCCCAGACTACTTTTTCATGTCAGAATCCCACCAAAGAATTCTATAGTGAAAGTGGGAAGGCAGGCCTTTCCAGAACACTGTGATATTAACACATTTATGAAAGAGCCTGTGTAACACAGGGAGCCATGGGATCATAGTGCAATGACAACAAAAGACACAGCAACTCCTCAGAGAGCTGGAGCACCGGATGGCCACTGAGAATTCCTTCAGATTGAAGAGGAAGGAGGAGGCAATAGAATTTATATCTGTACTCTGCTGTATCAAGTTGGGTGTTTGCTTCTTCCTAAGGCCCCATCAAGACCATTTTGATTCTTGTTTGTTTCGTCTTTGTTGTTGTTTGTTTGTGTTTTCAGGCAATGCTATACTTTCATTTCAAACTCAGGCAAAGAAATGTGTTGTTTAAATTGCCATTCCAACATACACAAGGGAAGTCAATTCAAGAACTCAAACATCACACCCACAGTCAAAAGCAGAGAGAAGCAAATGCAGCCTTACTATATGCTGTGTGATGCTCACCTAGCTTTCTTTTCTCGTCTTACACAGTGTGGAGTCCTGTGTCTAATGAAATGGTGCCACCCACACTCAGATTGGTGCTTACCATCTCAATTAACAGCTAAGACAATGCACCACACACCCACCAACAGGTCAACCATTTCTACACAATTTCTTAGCTGAAATATTCTTAGAATTCTAGGTTGTGTGAAGTGGACATTTAAAATTAACTATTATAGACAGTGTCTCTGGAAACTTAGGCTAGTAAAAACTCACACTTCTGATCCTCTTGTTTGTACTTTCCAGGTGTTGAGATTATAGGCATCAAAACATGACATTTATTCTCGTAGATTTGTCTATAGAATTTTTGTCCTTCATCTGCACATTTTCAGCAAATAGTTTCCAGCAAGGCTGTTTACAACTTCAGCAGGCTCTCTTACCCCAAGAATCTGGATTTTTCCAGGATTCTTTTATCTAAACAAGGCACTCTGTAAACTCTTTCTCTCAATGGATCATCTTTATGTGCATGTCCTGTGCCTAGCTATTCCTGGATAATTGAGAGACTGAACTTGTCTTGTCGAAGGACGGTGTCCCAGGGATCATCTAAATACCTGCAGTAAGGAACTTCTCTGAATTCCACTAACCTTGTGACATACCTGCAGATCAGATTCCCCATTGAAAAGGAAATAATAATCCTTAAATCCCAATAGTTCATTCTAGATCAGAATATGAGTGGCCATGGCCCAGGAACACAGATTTAGATCACATCAAAGTTCACTGTGGAAGAACTTTTATTTATTTATTTTTTTGTAGTAACAGAACAAAGAAAGTCCTAAGTCAAGACACTTTTGCAGTACATTGGTGGAAACATGGAAGAGGTGGGTTACCACACAGCAGAGAACCCTGTTCAAGGCTTCAGAGGCTATCTGATGACATGATTAGTATCTGGAATGGTGGAAGCTAGTGGTCTGCTAAGTTAATATATTCCAAAGGAAAACTAATCTTCTGCTTGTACATTCTGAATTATTTACCTCATGGTCACAAAGCTGTTATGTCAAGTACAGAGAAAGGCTATTAAGAGAGCTGAATATGGTCCACGATAATTTGGCTCTGGACCGGAAGCATGCCAAATTCTCCAATTCTCTGAAATTCAAAAAGTTAGTAATCATGACAAAAAGATCAGTTTGAAGGTTCAGCTTCTTTGTGACAACTTTTGTTCGTAAAATCAAGTGCTATGTGTCATTGAGTAGAAGTTCTTACCCAGTCTCTCTAGAAGGAAACTTGGTGACTTGGGGCAGGGCCAATGGGAAATTTGAAATCCTTTTACCACATCTTCTGCTTTGAAGTATTGAGGCTGGGATAGGGCACAGATCAAACTCCTCAGAGCTTTGATGGATGGGCTTGAGAATCCACAAATGGACCACGTAACGATCCCTGAGGATAAACCCCTTGTATGCTCTCTAATGGTTCCTGTTACCACTTGATTTCCAGGACTGAAGACATCAGATACTGCTGAGGTCCTTGTAGCTGTGTTCCTTGGACCCAAACTGCTACTGGTAATTGGTGCCTTTGCCATCTACATGCACAAGAAGCAGAAGGCCTGACTGTAAGTTAGGAAGGATGGAGGCTGTATTAGTTACTATTCTGTCGATGTGACAACATACTATAAGGAAATTAATTTATAGAAAAAAAGGGTTTATTTGGCCATACTGTTCCAGAGACATATGAGCCCATCAAACCTAAGAGGCATGAAGACAGATCAGGGAGCCAAGAGCTCACATTCTTGTGGAGAACATTAAACAGAGAGAATAAACTGGAAGTGTCACAAGGCTTTTTAAGATCAAAGCTACGTCCTGTGACATAGGCTGCAGTGTCTAAACCTCTCCAAAGAGTACCACCAACTGGGAACCATACATTCAAGTATCCTAGAATATAGAGAATATTTCTTATTCAAACCCCAGAGGGTTACCAGTCTTTGTACTAACAAAGAAGGGGCAGGGGCAGTAGGAGGGCCAAGGCATTTGTGAAAGTTTTACCATCTGTGGTGATGACATGTTGCTGAGGATCCTCAGGAATCTCTTGGAAGCCTTTGAGACATCCCAAGCTCCCAGGAAGTATGTGTGTCCTTCAGGAAGCTTTCAGTCAAGGATCAACAAAGGCATCCAAAGAAGCCTAAAGGAAGTGAAGGACATGGGCCCTGGGGAGGATGTGGGGTATTGGCCTCACTGCCCCTGTTAAAGGTCACCACAGAAAGTGGAAAGCAAGGGTTCATGGGAAACAGCAATCTACATTATGGACCAATTTTTAGAAGTTCCAAAGACCTGTAATAAGGACTGTTCCTTCTTTGTTCTCTCTGTGATCATAAAGAATAGACTCACAAAGACTGTTTGACTCAGGGACTAGGCTTAGATGAAACTTTTGTGACATGGGCACCACATCCACTCAGGACAGGAGGAGAGCAGTAACAGGGACATTGCAGCACTAAGGTACAATGTGTAAGTGGTGAAAGGATTTTTGAATGAGAGGTGATTCTCTACAACTCTTCTCTTCATTCTGCCATATCAGACCCTGACTCTCTGACATCATCTTTCTTATAGGGGCTCAGACTACAAGAAGCTGGTGAGAAGCTGTAGAAGACTGCTCTGAATGCCTCCCTCATGAGGAGAACGCCAACTCAGATTCCCTGTTATTCCTCTGCATAAGCATTGATAGATAGCTCATAGTTGTGATGCTGTGGTTATTGGATTCTATTCTTGGGGTTCTGAATCTCATTAATAAAATAATTTAAAAATGAATTCAAGTATAAGTTCAAAGACAGTTTATTCAAGTTATAAGGGAAAATTCCAAGTTCAGACACATATACAACTGAAAAACTTCACAAAGGAGGAGAATGGAGGATTAAAGGGGAAATACACTCATGCTGTTCAAGAAAGCATGAAGGTCAGACATATGGTGAACAAACTTCCACACTGTGAAAAGGGGACATTTCTAGCAAAAGTAAGGAAGCCTGAAGCATCATAAAAGGTATGCTTAGATTCAGCCACCATACAAAATACAAAAGAAAGAGACAGAAAGAAAGTAAAAAGGAAAATGCTTTGTGGGCATCATAAGTGAGATGAGATGGTTTACATGGTAAATGTGACACTATATTGAATCACTCAAAGGTGTCACAAGGAGAGATTTTCTAGATTGTCTTGTGGTCATGTCTGTGGGAGACTGTCTTGATGACATTAGTTGATGTGGAAAGATCTATTCCACTGGGGGGCTCACCATCCCATACTTGGGTCCTGGAAAATATAAAAAGAATATAATAGAAAGTAGCCTGAGGAGTCAAAAACATGTATTCATTCTCTCTCTCTGCACTTGACTGTGATATGACAAGCTGTTTCAAATGCCTGCCACCTTGACAAGCAGTTACAGATTGTAAGTTCGAATAGAGAGATAAAATGAACCCTTTCTCTGCTAAATTGTTTTTCTCGGGGTATTTTATCACAGCAAAAGAATTTAAACTGGGACAATTGGCAAAAGGGGGGCGATTTCATCAACTCGGGTACACTAGAATTGACAAGTGGCTTTTAACAGTGTGAAGTGGAGATGTAAATGAATTGTCATTACATGAACAGCAATGAACAAAAGCAACTTGTGGAGGAAATAATTTATTCGGCTTATACCACTCTATTACAGTTCATCATCAATGGAAGCCATGGCAAATATTCAGGGAAAAAGCCCAGAACTGCAGGAACTGAAGCAGAAGCTGAGGAGAAATGTTGCTTACTGGCTCGCTACACATCACTTGCTCAACCTGCTTTCTTTCTTTTTTTTTTTTTCTTATTTTGCAATACCATTCAGTTCTACATATCAGCCACGGATTCCCTTGTTCTCCCCCCTCCTGTCCCCCTCCCCTTCCCCCCAGCCCACCCCCCATTCCCATCTCCTCCAGGGCAAAGCCTTCCCCACAGACTGAGGTCAACCTGGTAGACTCAGTCCAGGTAGGTCCAGTCCCCTCCTCCCAGGCCGAGCCAAGCGATCCTGCATAGGCCCCAGGTTTCAAACAGCCAACTCATGCAATGAGCACAGGACCCGGTCCCACTGCCTGGATGCCTCCCAAACAGATCAAGATAATCAACTGTCTCACCCATTCAGAGGGCCTGATCCAGTGGGGACCCCTCAGCCATTGGTTCATAGTTCATGTGTTTCCATTCATTTGGCTATTTGTCCCTGTGCTTTATCCAACCTTGGTCTCAACAATTCTCGCTCATATAAACCCTCCTCATTCTCGCTAATTGGACTCCCAGAGATCCACCCAGGGCCTAGTCATGGATCTCTGCATCCAGATCCCTCAGTAGTTGGATGAGGTTTCTAGCACGACAATTAGGGTGTTTGGCCATCCCATCACCAGAGTAGGTCAGTTCGGGCTGTATTTCGACCATTGCCAGCAGTCTGTTGTGTGGGTATCTTTGTGGATTTCTGTGGGCCTCTCTAGCACTTTGCTTCTTCCTGTTCTCATGTGGTCTTCATTTACCATGGTCTCCTATTCCTTGTTCTCCCTCTCTGTTGTTGATCCAGCTGGGATCTCCCGCTCCCCCAAGCTCTCTTTCCTCGACCCTCGCCTTTCACTACCCCCACTCATGTCCAGGCTGTTCATGTAGATCTCATTCCATTTCTCTGTCATTGGGTGATCCCTGTGTCTTTCTTGGGGTCCTGTTTTCCAGGTAGCCTCCCTGGTGATGTGAGTAGCAGTCCAGTCATCCTTGTTCCATGTCTAGTATCCTCCTATGAGTGAGTACATACCATGTTTGTCTTTCTGAGTCTGGGTTACCTCACTCAGGATGATTTTTTCTAGATCCATCCATTTGTCTGCAAACCTCATGATGCCATTGTTTTTCTCTGCTGAGTAGTATTCCATTGTGTATATGTACCACATTTTGTTTATCCATTCTTCAATTGAAGGGCATCTAGGTTGTTTCCATGTTCTGGCTATTACAAACAATGCTGATATGAACATAGCTGAACAAGTGCTCTTATGGTGTGTCAACCTGCTTTCTTATACCATGTAGGACTACCTGCCCAGGAGTGGCACTGCCCACAGAGAGCTGGGCCCTATCACATTAATTATCAATCAAGAAAATGCAATACAGTCTTGCCTACAAGCAAATATTGTAGAGGCTTTTTCAGTTGAGATTCCTTCTTCCTAGATAACACTGGCTTTTGCCAAGTTGATTAAATATTATCCAGCATATCTTGTAAAATATAGAATCATATATTTGAGATCATTTGTTATAGAAGCTTGGAGTGCTGGTGCCATGACCTCTCACAGTTACTGTTGTTATTTGCTTCTTTATTGATTGAATAACTGCCTAGGTTGCTTACTTAATGCTATCCTCCTAAGCACACCAGCACTTGCGTTTTTGTCCTATAGTGTTTGCTAAGAAGCTACAAATCTTTGTGGGACAAAAGAGACTTATTTCAATTAGATTGACACAGAACCGGTGCATGGTTTATTTTACTAGTTTGTATATACTTGCAGTTGAAGCAGACATAGTCACAGTGAAGTAAGTCAGGGTGGTGCTACTTTGTATTTCCATTTCCTCCTTTGTGCTACACTCAGTAAGTGATCCCTGTGAGGGTGTACGGGATGACCTGTGCAGAGTGCACAGCCTTAGTCTGTGGATTATGCAGGTTCCTGTCAGAAACTGATGAGCACTAGTTGGTGTTTCCCTGTGCAAACTGCTGCACCGGGTGACCTGCAGGTGATCCAGTCTGAGAAATCAGGTTCATCTGCTGCTGGAGAGACAGTCACTCTGAGTGCACTGAGACTCCCTTGAATCCTGAAGGCACATGGAATGGTTCAGGGGTGTGCGCACAGCTGGGAGATAACATATAGGTTCACAGGAGAGCATTTTCCCAGAGTTACAAATGCTTTAGACATCACAAAGGGAAACAACCTGGACTTTTCCATCTGAATCAGTAACATCATCCATGCAAACAGTAGTACCTACTGTGTGAAGTTCCAGAAGGGGCACTTATAACAAGAAGCTGCAGTCTGAGCCAGACAGCAAACTGACTGTGCGTGAGTACACTGTTGTTTCCTTTATCTCCAATATATGGCAGCAGTTATGTTGTCCATCCTTCTATGAATAACAACTAAGAGGCAGGAGTGAGGGATGGGTGCTAATGTTCATGAACTGATTTCACCGCAATAGGTCGGGGAAGCCAAGAGGTGCAGAGGACTTGCCAAATAATGAGATCCCCCTTCTGGTTAATGGAGGAATATCAGATCTGCTTTGTCTGCCTGCCTCACAGTCCTAGTCTTTTCCTGTCTGATCCAGACCTCTGTGTGCACAGACAAGATCTCAGTCAGTTGAGTGACTTATGTAGTGACAGGATCAGATATGACCTGCTTCCTCACAGAGCACTTTTCCTCCATAGGGAAGTCTTTTTATTTAATGCTCTAAGCCCTGAGGGTCTGCTGTGACAGTCTCAACTTTGGATGACATGGAAATATCAGGGAGTATATAAATCAGGATCTCATCTCCATGAAAGCTCTGTATTTCCCTTCTGTGAGGACCTATGTCAGTACATAGGGGGCAGGATGTTTTTCCCA